GGCGGGGTGGGATGCGGATCTTCATCAAGTATAACTAACAATAATTGTATACAACTGATAGAAGATTTCTTTGTTTCATCCACGAAAGGATTTAATTTCAAATTAAACGACAATGTTTTTAAAACTTGCTCTGATGGTTTTTTTTTAAATCACTTAAAAGCAACATTGTTTAGAATGCGTTAAATTTAAGAATGTATTGCGTGACTCACGAGCTTGGCCTTGTGGGTTTTCCTGATCCTTCAATGGTGGGTGTGGCTTGGTTTGATGATGATGTTGTCGGAATACTTGACGTCGGACGTTGGGTTGGTTTCTTAGTCGTTCCCGTTTTGTTTTTAGAAGATGAAGGCATTTTAGGGCTAGTAAAAATAACGTAATATTTTTTTCACACGTTAAAAAGCCTGTACAGTTCTTCCGCGCATGCGCAAAGGTTTTGTTTCACCCGTGCCTATAAGTTTGGAAAATAAATCACAATTAAAAGACCCACCTGAACCGCTCAATCATGGCTGAAGCAAGGTTCGTTTCTCCTTTGTACATTTCAAGAATCTAAAAATAAAACAATGAGTTTGAAAAATGTACTTGGGTCTGTGTACTGTCAAAGCCCCTGCCCATCATAGACACTAGAGAAAAACGTTTGCGCATACGTGCATCTTAGCACGTTTTCTAAAAATTTTGAAGAGTTTGAGTGAGAGAATAAATGTTTGTTTTCTCCAAGTATACAAAAAAGTTCGAGAGTACTTTTGTCAGACCAAGATACTGTATCAACAAACACAATATGAAAAAATTAGCCTTAAGTTTCAAGCATGGACACTAAGTTTTGGCATTCTGTGAAGTCCAATTTATCAAGCATGTTTGAAAGTCAAATTTACHTATGTTTTGACTAATTTGCATACGGATTCAGAGCATGCGCAGACGTTTTTCACTCGTTCGTGTCCCCATCATATGCTATTAGTCAGCCGAATAAAACTGATTATCAGCATACGATGGAAGCGGAGGGAGCAAAACCCTAGAAYATTCATGGGCTTACCGCATCTTCAAATTTGGTTTTCAGCTGCAGAAATGCAAGTGTTCCAGGCATAACAAGATCATCGACCCAAACCAAGGATAACACATCTATGGTCACTCGATACGTCACTATTCCTATAAAAACAAGACCGGTAAAGGTTAGTATTTTGTAACGTGTATGCATGCTTTCTAGTCATCCATTATTACACACCCAATCACATCCCATCTCAGTTTATTTTTCATCTCTCTCACTCATCCATGCAACCATCTTTTATCCATCCATTCATCCATYGGCTATCTACCAATCCCTACATTCATCCATCCATCCAACTCATATTCAACCATTCATCCATCTATCCATCCGCCCATCCCGTTTTTCTACCTTTTCTATTTCTATCTTTTGGTAATTCATCCCCAATATATTGATATTACCAAGACTAAGTTTGAAACTTACCTTCTAATGGCTTTCTAGACACAAACTGATGTTTTTCAGTACATCTTCGATCTGACATGGTTCCATACCGATAGAAAGTTTGTCGTACACTTACAGCTACACACCGTTCTTTGCCACTATCAGGCTCGTTAGCCTCCCAGTCAACATATTCAATACCCGATCCGTCTGTATTCATGTAGCTGCTTTCCTTTATTCTAAAAAAACAGTTTATTGTAAGGTCGAACCTCTATTGGGCACTTTAGAAACAAGCAAGAGACTGGGGCGAGTTTTGAATTTTAATTAATTAAGCAAAAGACTTTTCTCATCCGATAAAGCATCTCAATATTAATGAGAAATATGAACGTGTTTTGTTAAAAAGAACGAGAGTTACAAGCCTTCAAAATTGTGAAACATTTACAAAGAATGCATAATTACGGTGGATCAGTTAGACTCGATGTCAAGCGACATCCTCCTGATCAGATTTGAAAACATTAGGACTATCTATGATTTACTCATTACTGTTCAATCTATATAACATTAAAACAAAGGAACATTTAAATTTTTGATCTGATTAGCTTTGCCATCACCCGCTCTCACTGATTTATTAAGGCAAAACACGTCTACTGTTATTGCATTTACCTGTTGTTCAATCCAATCCAGATCGTTTCATCTCGATCCTTGACGGGCAGGTTCCCAATAAAGTCTACTTCAAGTGGATCGTGTAGCGACAACAGAGTAGCGTTATCTGACGTACTCCTACTCACTGCCTCCTCCCACGTGACTTTATCCGTGTGATATTTATAACATTTTCCTTGGTATTCGACAAAACCTTTGTCGCATGTCGCTTTAAATAATATTTTGGGAAATTAGCGAATGACAAGAATACGTGCAAATTTGAATGCAATTAATAAGAAGGGCGATAAGAGGGCACTACAACTTTATTGCTGGTATTTATATCACTTTCATTGGTATTTTTTTWAAATATTATTCCTACCTCCATAAACCATGAGATACACATCTGAAAATCAAATTAAAACAAAGTTATAGCTTCGCTTATCATGCACATTAACAGGGCAGTTTCATATGACTGAAAAATTCATAAACGTGCGGTGCCGTGCCTTGACCGTTCAGCTGCATTGTTCAAGCATTCTAATTGGCTGAGTAGTGATTTCTCGCGCTCTGATTGGTTGAAAGGATGTAGTCAATTGCTTGACGCGAGGGTTCCGCGTGCCACTCAGTTTCACTGTTATACGAAATTCAGTCTTTACTGTGTTAAGAGAGCGCGATAGAAAAGAAACAGTAATTGCAAACGCGTAAGAGTAATTAGTTTTAGTCAAATTCAACTAGTTGTCTATCATCAATTAATGCTGCGTTCTGTTTGGATGAGCTACTACCAGGCTATAAGTTATATCCTACTAGTAGCGAAAAGTGCCTGCTTTGAAAACCAAAACATTAAATGTAACCTTAATTCAAAACTTGTTTGCATCTATATGTTTGACCGACTAGTTGGATTTGACTAAAACAATTGGTCCTCTCCTCCTCATGGTCTATGAGTCAATAGCTTATTCGACCTTCGGGCTCAATGATTGATTGCTAAATAAAGAGTATCAAAGCTTGTTCTATTCTCAGATTAAATTTTCGTTTTCATACCAGTGAATCCAGGAACATTGTCTTCCATTTGGTCAGCTTTATTTCCTGGTTCATCATAATACACCACAACATAAAACCGACCACGCCCACCACGGACCACACCCACTCCGACACGTAGACTTGACTTCCATATCATCTGTACAAAGTTCATACTCTTGGTACTAATTGAATTATCTTGCCAGTCGTAGTCCTTGACCGTGTTGTACCATTCGTCGACGCATTCTTTTGCTATGGTTTCCCGTTTTCCATGTCGTAAACATATGGTTCTGCCGTAAGGAGAGTTTGTGTCTGTTTTGCCTGTCCCTAGGCTACTAATGTAAAGGGCCCATTTCTGGGCTTCGTTGGTAATGTCGTCCGAGAGAATGACAGGGCCGACGCCATGGATACGACGAAAAACATTGATATATTCGACTACCTCCATCCTAAACGGATCTACAGGAAATTTAAGAAATTTGTATTTATTTCATATCCCATTAAATTAATGCTTTTTATTCTTTAAAAAAAAACCAGAAATCTTTATCTTGGACATAACGTTTTTCCCATTTCAGACCACGTGTCATTCTCTTGAAAATAAGATTCTTTGTTTGAGTTGTACACACACATATATATATATATTCATGTGTCTTGTCATGTGCGACCGTTAAACAAAGAAATGATACTCTAGGGAATGAATGTGGAATGAAATGGGAAAACATTACGCACAAGTTAAAGAAGTTACATTTTTAGTAGGGGGTCCTACAGACCTGTTTTTGGTATCGGTGTTCCTGGAGATTCTGGTTTCCTTGTTGGCCGAGTCGATCCTAAAAGATGAAAGTAATAATAAACAATAATAAATATGCTATATAGCCTTGCGAGATTAAAAATGTTTATCCAAGACGATGAACGTTGGCACTGGAATCTTCCATGTGTAAGGCGTATCGATGTTTACAATGCTTCTACATTTACCTCTACTTTGGGTGTAATGTTTTACCATTCCAGATCAGGTGTTATTTTATTGAGAATAATATCTTTGTTTGAGTTGTATCCATATTCATGTATCTTCTCATGCGCAACAGTTAAACAAAGAAATGATACTCTAGGGAATAGCACGTGTTCGGAAAACATTACGCCCAAGATGAAGAGGTCTATAGACCAAATCCACTCGGTCGCAATGTTTTCCCATTTCAGACAACGTATCATTCTTTTGAGAAAAAGATTCTTTGTTTTAGTTGTATCTATATTCATATGTCTTCTCATTACTATTATTTCTCACATTTCATTGTCTTGATATATTAGGAATATAATACCTGATGGAACAGTGCTTTGGCCAGAAGGTCCAGGTGGTCCCCTGGTCGGTCGTCTGGTCGGTCGTCCTCCTGGTCGTCTGGTCGGTCGTCCTCCTGGTCTTCTCGTTGGTCTCATGGTTGGTCGTCCTACCGTGTCTGAAGGTAAGAAATTGTCTTTATAAAGTAAAATGCATCAATATCTAAATATTATAATATATAAAAAATAAATAGATATCATTGGGTGACAGGATTTTCATATACGTTTGAAATAGTAAGAGAAAGTCATAAATTGCCGTAGAGTCCTGGGGACCAAATGAGCATTTTCATTATACACCGTTCTCATAATGGCTGACAAGTCATTAGTTTACAATAGAAGAAATAAAAGCACATGAAATGCGTTCATAGAAGGAAAGTAAAGAAAAGTAGAGAAATTGACTTTTTGTTTTGACCTGAATTCGCGCTATCCACCTTTATTTTGAATGAGCAGCCTTGCTCAGCCTTGCAAGATGACTGGGTGGCCTCGTTTTTGTGCACTTTTCAGCCATTATGAGAACGGTGTATGAATACTCCAGTTTCGAATTCTCTTTTGCTCAGCCTTAGTCTCGGTTGTGTGTTATAATATTCAGCTATTCAACCTAAACCTGTGGCATTTTAATCAACTTGTATTGTTCCTTAGTACGTATATTCCTTACTATACAATGGACGTTAATAAAAGAAAAAAAATACATTTGTACACAATTGAGGCTAAGACTGAGCAAAGGAGAACTCGAAATGGGAGTATTACTAAGCCATTAGTGGTAGTAGGAGTATTTTGCCCTGTTACCGGAGGTTTCTCCGATCACCAACCCTTAATCAAAACCCTGCGCATATCCCGGTGAAAGGCGGTTCTGTGACCGTGCAGTCTTGCTTACTTTGGCAGAATCGTCCATTGTAGCCTCCAATACACCGACATCGGAACCCTCCAGGCTTGTTAGGGGTTTTTATACAACTTCCTCCGTTATTACAAGGTCGGTTTTGACATGGGTCAATAGCTTCTAAAAATAAAATAATGAAAAAAATAATAAWAAATTCAAATATTGCTATAAAGTGTGTCAAATTTTGACACAACATAAACATCTTTTTTCAAGTCAAGACACTTTATTCCATAATAATATAATTCCTTTATAGCATGCCGGTGTTGGAGGTGGAGAGAGGGAGTGGAAGGGCTTATTTCTCTTAGTTTTCTCATATCCCCTTTACTAATAAATGATTTCAGTTGAAATTCAAATTCGTTTTTGGAAGTGAATTAAAAGCCTTCCTTTTGATTATAATAACAAAGCTGGTTCTTCGACTGATTTGTTCAAATTTTCTGATTTTTGAGAAGATAAAAAGAAATTAAAGCAACATCGCATTGATTTGCACTCTTAAACAGTATACTTATATGAAATAAACAACAAGGAACAAGAAATAGGACGTTTGCATCATAGCGTCATTTGACTCCCTCTACAACAATGCTTCGCGAATTTTCTTTCTTATTTAAATCTGTATTCCTTCATGAGAATAGTAAGACAATTGGCGCTAATTAACTGAACAAAAGAAAGCGTGCAAGGGAGTCTGGTAGTAGAGGCCAATGACGTCATCATACAAACGTCCTATAAGGAACATTTAAAAAGGAGCGCACTGTCTTGTAAGCTAAACAAGTAAGGCAGCTGGAGGTCAGGGAGATTTAGAACAACCAAAAGATCATTTTTATTAACAACTTAACCATAATCGAAAGGAATGAGTGATTTGTGTTAGTTATGATTGCTTACCTCTTGGGGAATTACATCTGTTTCGTATCGCCTTTATCTGGTTGCTTCTTAAGGCGGCATTGTAGATCTGTAAGCACGTGACTCTTCCTTGGAAGTGCCTCCTTAAGTAAGACACAGAACCGAGCCGAATAGGGTACTGGGTCGCTAAGAGGACTCGGCCAATTGATCTTCTCTTTACCTGGAAACCAGATAAATTGTTTTTGTTAAATGTGACTGAGAAATATTTGTATTGAATATATAGCGAGACAAATATTACGAGGAATTCAATCTTTCTTCCCTCTTCCCTCCTTCCTTCTTCCCTTTGTTTTTATTTTTTTTTTTTTACTCCTTCCTTCCTTCCTTCCTTCCTTCCTTCCTTTATTTTCTTCTCTCTCTCGGTCTTATAAGCATGTATGCTCACCTGTCTACCGTCAATCCACAATCCTGCATATCCAGTTCTATGATCGTAGGTCAAACCAACGTAATGCCACCCTCTAGAAGACACACCTCTATAAAACAGTCTACGCCTGAAGTATCCCATCCGACCAATAAAGTTAGCCGATATAGTCCTTCTTCCATAATAAAACAAACCAACTCCCACACCGTTACGTCTGTAATTCACAATAGGCCCTGGACTTTGTGAGAAATGCACCCAAAGGAAGATTGAGGTTGACGTTCTTGTATCGAGTTTCCCACGGGCGCGGTTCGGAATCTCGATAAAACTGTATCGTCGTCCGCGTAGGAAAAGTGCCCCACCGTGTTGTCCCTGAGGACCCCATGAACGTGAAACCCGGCTGAATCGTGCTGTTGGCCCTTTGTTTTCACTGACTTCTTGTCCACGGTATCTGGCGTTCAGTGGGTAGAAACCATATACTGGTGGGATAGCTTTGAGAAAGAGGAGTACAAACGTTAGACATCCAAGTTTACATCTAAGTGGGAAAATTATCGACAAATGATACGGTCATAGTACGGTTGTGATGACATCCATTGAACCAATTACAGCAATAGGATGACTGAAGAGAATCAAAAGTAATAGCGGTAGTGCACTCGTGCAAAACAGAAGTTGTTTCAGGGTTCAAATTGTGATTTAGGCTTGCCCTGAGTTTGATCAGCCCAAAAGTTGTATCAGGGTTCGATCTGAGAGTAAGCTGTGCCCTGACTTTGATCAGCCCAGAGGCTTTTTCATTTTGATTATAAAGTTGGAAGAGCGAGGGCAAGGTTAGGGTATGGGTACCGCATGACAATTATATATTTTGGTACTTACCACTAGTGCATAGTCTTGATATGATGCTGTAAATATGTCTTCGTAGTGTGTCAAACGATCTTGCAGTAAGTAAATGAGAAGGTTTCTCTACCAATAACCTCAATTGTCGTGTGCTTACATACCTAGGAAAAAAAGAAAGCTTGCTAAGAGTAGAAGCACTGGAAAAAACATCCTTTCCTATCCATACATCTCATCCATTTACTTATCCATCCATCCATCCATCCATCCATCCATCCATCCATCCATCCATCCATCCATCCATCCATCCATCCAACCATCCATTTATATCTATCTACAATCTACAATATAGACAAACCATCCAATAAGCCATATTTGCTGCCTAACTTACCTTCCAATACCAATAGCAAACACTTTAACTCCCTGCTTTCTCAAAGGTAAAACTCTTTTGTCAAGTTGGGGTACCTCTCCGTTTACTTGCGACTGCTGACCATCCGTAAGCACGATTAGAATCTTGGGTACTCCACTTCGACCGCCACGTGATTTTCTAAATATAACTTGAGCTTTCCTGAGAGCAAGGTCAATGCGAGTGTCTCCTCGTTCAAAAGGAATACGCCCTACGGCTCGTGCAAATTGATTCCATTTCCTATGCTTTTTGAGGGTGATAGCAATGGAAGCACGCGTGCTGTATACTATAACGCCGGCATGAGTTCCACGGTGTGATATGATGAACTTTCTACTCAAGTGTTGAATGAAGCGCTTTTCTTTGAGGAAGTCACGTGTTGTCATGCTTCCTGAGGCGTCCAATGCGAACACGATGTCGATTGGTCTCTTGCACTGTTGACCTGGAAAAGTTAGATGGCACAATAGACGCAACATGTAACAAAACAGTAAAGCACTGAACGAGCTAGGGAGCCTGGTATCGTGCTAGGGAGACTGGAATCGAGTAATCCCATCGGGCCGAAAAACCCGCCTAATGTGTCTGAAGTCTCATATGAGACTTGGTAGCTCAGTGGTTAGAACATAGCACCAGAATCGCCAGGTCACGGGTTCAATTCCCGTTCAAGGCTTTTTCTGAGTCTTTCAATTTGCAGCTGCCTAAGCTGGTTGCACCTTCAATATATTAATAAATTTATGGGAATGGAAAAGAGTTTTCAAAGAGCAATGAAATAGATTTAAATGCAGGTGTGGGAACCCTGTGTCTTATTATGGCAGGTAGACGAGGGTACAAAGATAAATTGTTATTTAGATTTAAGTAATATCCAGTGAGATATACCTTCACTTTCATGAATGATGCTTGCCATGATCACACCAACCAACAACAGCAGCTTCATATCTAAGGTCTTAATTTCATTTAAAAAATAGATGAATATTAGGTTATGGTATTTAACAGTCAAGGAGCTGTCAATTACTTTCTAGCGGGAGGGCCCTAACCCCTATGCAATTTGTGGGCAATATTGGAATTCAGGTTATTTTTAATGTATTTGCTTACCCACCGCTGACCAGGCAACGCAGGCTCATCAAAAACCTACTCATTTTATCGATAACCTGAAACAACCTTTGGGCTAATCTATAAGTAAGCACACAGCAGACTTGGATTGCAGTATTGGATTACAATTTAGGCTTTGTGGAGGAAGGAAAACTGGAGCCGGATTCTGAGGAAAACCCTTGATTCGAGGGAAAGACCTAACAAGATGGATCGAGATGCCGTYATTTTTAAATGCTGACCTCAAGTTGAATATAATTTTTTTACCAGTGCCAAGACATAGGGGGATAAATGTCTATTTAGAAATTGCCAATTGTAACCCAGCGTCTAGTGTTTTTTTTTTATTTGAACAAAAATCAAGTCCATAGTATCCGATATCTTTCTATTAGTTTCTCGGTTTCTTTGGTTGCGTTTTGAGATGTATTTATTTTTATGCCAAGTAATGAAAGATATTTATTATTGATCTGACATCCAAACCTTTGTTGGCCTCAGGCCTACCAGTAATAGCTTCAAAATTTTATATAGCATTTTTCGAAACAAATCATTTTATTCTTTTTGATATTTTCTATTTATTTGTTTTTAACATAGCTTTACTAACTTTGAATTTCAATTTCGTGTTAGATTGTTGCTTTTTTTTGTACTAAAATTTAATATATATGTTGTCGTTCGATTCAATTGCAACGTCTAAAACGTTTTTTTCATACAGAAACAGTGAAATTTGACAAGAAAACAAAGCAGAAATATAAGTAATATCTAGAAAACACAAAAGACGAATTCAACGATAGTTAAATTAAACTTTCGACCTTATTTTCCTCCAATATATTAATGAAAAAAGGTTACCTCATATCTTTTGAATGTCATTAAGGATTACGAAGGGGTAAAGTCATCCAAAACAACTTTGAATTCATGGTCAATGGTTTTTTTCAAAATCTCCGCATTCGAATTGTTTAAAACCGTATGAATATAGAATACACTTGATAATTCTTACCTTGAACTTCATTCTGACACACTCCATCCACACGGATCGGCGCGACAAAGCCCTTAAATGTAAATTAATTTTTTGAACAAAGACTTTCAAACTTGTTTATAGTAAAGGAGCTTTCATGATCTCTCGACCTGTTCAGCCACAAGTTAGTTTTTGATTTTTTCCAAAACAATTCCTCTTTCTCGTAGCCTGATTCATGCAAAGTAGAATAATGTTTTTGTCAAAGGGGTTATTTAATTTTACGAATTACTTGCAAATTGTATAAATATATAGGGTTTTTTTCATTTTAACACGTTATTATAGTTTTTAGTGTCATTGGTCGATAAACGAACAACTTACACTTCTATAGTAAAACCCAACCAAATTCAATTTCACCGATGCAAGTTAATAAAAAGACTTTTAAAATACTCTTACCCAAAGCCTTACATAAAAACTACTTCATTATTGATTGTTTTCCATTTTATAATATATGTTTTTTATTACTTAGTGCCCTTAGCTTACTTAAAAGAGTTGACTAAAGCGATTGTTCAAAAAGTCCCCTCTTTAATTCATAATTTATAAAGTAAGATCTCAAAATCTCCAGGGAAATGAKAAATATATTGTCTTATACATCACTTTACGATTTCGAATTCCATGGATTTAAATTTAAAATCTTGCCTAGATGAGAGCTGTTATTTAGTGGACGAAGACATTCTTTGACCGACATTTCTGACCAATTAGTGGACAGAATATTTGCAAATATTTTTCGACCAATCAGTGGACAGAGAAAGAGATCTATCAATCAGTATACCAGCAAAATATTTTACAACTGCAGAACGACCAGTTAGTGGATAAGGAAATTTTTCCACCAATCGTTGGAAGACAAAAATATTGGAAACTTTAGTAGATGAAGTAGCTCAACCAATAGTTTACAAGAGGAGTGTTTTCGAGCAATACCGTGGGTAGTCATAGTCTAGCAAAATTTGTACTTTTTAAAAAAATGCTGTGAAATATTGATTTCGGTAAAATGAACTACATATTATAAATAAGACATCTCTCATATATTTTGATTTTATTGATAAACAAGCTAGCATTGATTTACACATGATTCACCGGAAAATTCATTATGAACAATATTTTTCACTGGAATGTGTTGACATCTTTATTATTTTGCGTTGTCAATAATTGGGAATAATCATTAAAAGTATCTGGTGGGGTGTCAGGGTCTGTAGCAACTCCTTTAACGTCGACACTAGTACCAGTCTCCTTGGGCGCGTCTGGGTCAACGTACTTATCATCTGCTGTCGTCGTCTCTTGGGTATGATCGAAGGGTTGTTCATAAATGGTTGGGGCACTCTCAGATTGATTTGTGGCACGTTCTTCAAGCTTCAAACCAGAGGCCCCGGTGGTTTTGTTATCTGGGTCTATTTTTGGGTAGCTCTCAGTATTTCCTATTGTCTTTTGGATATTATCGAAGGATTGTTCATACGTTGCTGGGGGACTGTCAGGGTGATATGTAGCATTTTCTTCAAACG